TGGAAGAAGAAGAGGAGGCAGAAGCGCAGGAGGATGCAGAAGAGGAGTCGGAGGTTGTTGGAGAAAAATCGATCTCGTGGGTTTTGGCCCTCAAAAGGGAAAAGGAATGGGGGTGAAAGGCAAATCCAAAAGTCTAGCCCATCGAATCGCCTCGTCGTCTTGCTGCCTGTGTGGTCAGCCTGGCCACTGGAAAGCAGAGTGTCCAACTCGCAAAGCTGCGGGCAAAGCCTTGAAGAAATACCGGAAAATCCAGTCCCGGCGGATGACGATGACGACCTTTTCTGCGAAGCTTTCACGCTGTCCAAAGACCAAGCTTGGAGTTCACTTCACAAGACCTGCGTAATGACCCACACCCGGAATCTTTCGCCTTTTTGGTCCCAGCAGCTAAGAAGCGGAAAACGGAAGTCAATCTGTCAACTCTAAATTCCATGGGAAAAATTGTTCTTTGAAGCAAAGGACCGTGAGCTCCAGAGTTGGTTGGACACACAATCTGTCGAATCCTTAGGCACCAAATCCCCGAGAAGAACATCCTAAAGTGCCGTTGGATATTAACCTGGAAAGACGCTGAAGACAACACCCACTTGGGAATTTCTGGAAAGGAAGCTGTCAACCGCAAAGCCAAAGCCCGTTGATGATTCTGGGCTATCAAGATCCCGAACTAAGTGAGTTTGAACGTGAAAGTCCTACGTTATCTAAATTATCTCGCAACCTGCTTTTGTATCAAATTAGTAGGAAATTGGAAATAGGCAGCTTTGACATCAAAACGGCTTTCCTAAGAGGAAGCGCTGATGCCAGAACTCTCGGCCTAGAACCTCCACCAGAGCTCAGAGCAAAAATGGGCCTTCGTCCAAATGAAGTTTGCCGCCTCTTGAAGGGGGCATACGGGTGAACGCGCCACTTTTATGGTTTCGAGAGCTGTTCAAAGCTTCGCAAGAGCTTGTTTTCGTCGCGGCCCCTTTTTGACCCTTGTTGTTTCCTTTTGTTTGATGAACGCAATCGAACCCGAGGGTTCGTAGGAGTGCATGTGGACGACGGATTGTTTGCAGGTGATTCCACTTTTCATCAGGAGATCAAGGAGCTCGAAAAGCGATTTCCTTTTGGCAGCCGAAAGAAGAGAACAAGATGATTGGTTTGGTGCATCACAGTGGATCAAACACAATATGTCATGGACATCAATCCAATCAACGTAGACAAAGAAAGAACATCCAGAAGAGCGCATCAATGAAGAAGAACGCCAAGGTCTAAGAGGATTAACTGGAAGCTTGCAGCACGCTTCGGCAAACACTCGACCTGACCTGGGAAGCAGACTAAGCTTTCTTCAAGGAAAAATCAACCATGGTCAAGTCCAAGATTTACTTGACGGAAACAAGCTGTTGCATGAAACCAAAGTTTACTCCAATGTCAAGTGCAGGTTCCAACGCGTCCCAGAGGAAGACGTGAGATTCGTTGCTTTCTCAGAAGCTTCTTTCGCTTCAGAAATGAACGCATCACCGCACCAGGGACTAATGATAATGACTGCGCATAAAGACACCGGACAACATCGTAAAAGCGTGGTGAACCCACTTGTTTGGTCTTCAAAGAAAATTCAACCTGTCGCATCAGTGAGCACATTGTCGGCAGAAGCAATGGAATTTGCTGGAGCTATGGATATCCTTGCATGGTGTCGGGGTTGGCTTCTTGACCAAAGGTGCCAATGGAGATTAGGAGACAAAACTCTAGGCAAACTTCCACCGGCCTTCTCTGCTTTCAAGGATGAACCCACCCTGGAAGACCCGGATCAGTCTCTTGGAAAACATGCTGAAGCTTCAGCAACTTGGGAAGAGATTCGCTCGTAGCCACGGACTGTAAAAGCCAGTTTGATTTGGCTAGCAGAACGGGCCCTCCCGCGCGTCGAACACTCCTAAAGGCCCGACTCATCATAGAACATCTATCCACTGGAGTGGCCATCCGATGTGAGGTCTTGAGTATAGGGAGATATCAACTAAATGATGAAGATGAAATTCTCAAGAACCGCTCTGATCGAAAAGCTCGGCTCAAATCGTTCCGAAGCCATCAATCGCAGGGGCAGACACAGAGCTCTGGTCGATTGAAATAAAGACAGCCAAGACGTCTTCAGCCAGAGAACTTGTGTGAGCTGCTCCAGGCCCGCCACTTTGCACTAGTTAATTGAACTTCTTTCTGGTAAAGGCTTGAAATAAATGGGGAAACTTGGAAGAGATGAATCAGCTTATCTTTCAGGGAGAATGCAAGTCATTCGAGAAAGCATCTCTTGCAGACAATCGAATTTTGTTGATGCTCCACGGCTGCTCGATGCGAACATGTTTGACGTCTTCATAGTGTTGGGAATGTCAAGTCTGCGGGTCCAGAATGCATGCTTGGTCACATGTTCCGGTTGATCCCGATGCTCAAGTCGGGCGGGCAGTGCGGTTGTGCAGCATCCATTGCTGCTTTGAGCCATAGAAGAAAGGCTTCGCTACGGAAAGAGCTTGAAATCGCGCAGGGAGGGTGAAACAAAGTGAGGGCCGTGGGAAGACTGGAAGGATACAGGGTATCCAAAGAGTGTCAGGAAGCAGGGCTTCTAAGCAAAGGTGGGAATTCAAACCTGTTTTGGTTGTGCATTCATAGTCCCTACCAGGTGCAAGATCCTGACTGGACTTGTAAAAAGGTTTTCTATATAAGTATGCAAATATATATGTATATATACATAAAATATAGAGACTATAGGCGGGACAAGTCCCTGGACAGTTTTCGAAAGGAGAGAGGCTGTATTTCACAGACTTGTCCACGACCGTTCCAAAACACGTTGCATGCAAGTCGCAAATAGACTATCAAGGCGTAATCAGGTAAACTGCAAAGCTGTTGTGTACTCTTCCAATCCTTGCCCCTGCCAAGATGCCCAGCACTGCGATCCGCGAAGTAGCCGTCCTGAAGGTGGAAATTGCCAAAAGAGTCCCAAAGGGCAGCTGCTTTGTGCAAATCCCGTGATTCTGCCGTGGTTCTTTGTGCAAAGGCAGCAGACCATCCAAATGTCGTGAAATTGCGGCAGTCCAAGTTTTTCTTGCGACAAAGTGCCACAGATTGTGATCAAGACAAACTGAGGTTGGATGTGGCTTGCAGTCCAGGGCGTTTGCATTTGGTCTTCGAGTTTGTCGATGCCAACCTCAAGCAGCCGGATGCTCGGGAACATGATGTATAGATGTATATATTTATACCTATACTTTTTACACATACACATTACTACCTTCACAATCTTCATAATGAACATATTTTGCAGGGCGACCCATAGACATCGGCAATTCTTTGCTGGTAGGGCTGCCATGCGCACAGCCAACATCTGCAAAAAACAAAGCATTGGAAAGCTGGATCCGGGGTTCCCGCTGCAGCGGCAGTGGGTTGTGCCAACTGGTGCCACAGTTCCTTTTGTTTGTCTGTGAGACCAGGCTAACGCGAAAAGCAGCCACACGGATATTGGGATCCAAGGTCTAGTCATGTTGTGGCGGCACTATTTCGTGGTCCAGTGGTCACGGTGCTTTGTTGACTTTCGTGGCACTTCGTGAACGTTGTCGCGACATTCGTTGTGCTTTAAGATTTGTCAACCACAACCTTCAGATATGGTGCTAATCGCAGACCTTGAATGAGCCTTCAGCTTCAGAAAGGGGTGCACCACTTTGTGGAGCTTGAGCTTCAGGGTTCATGGTTCATGGTGGCGCAGCACTTGGCGAACTTAAGGCTTTAGATGTTTTTTGACGATGCAGACACTATCGTTTGTCCAGATCCCAAGCAGATTTTATGCAGCACGAATGCTAGGAGCATCTGGTAAACTCTTGTGAGAACAACTGAAAGGACAGCCCGGAGTCCAGAGTCTAGAGCACTCTCAACAGAACTCTGTAAAGAGATCTGCTCCGCCAGAACATTTATGAGTGTAAAACACTCTTTACAGAACTTCTTAGAACTCTGTTGAGAATGCGTAAAAGAACTCGCTATAGAGCCTGCACAAGCCTGACAAAGCGTTCTTGGGTCTTGGCAAAACTCTTTTTGGAGACAAAAGCACATGGGATTTTTGGTTGACTGTCGCAAAAGTTTTGTGCATCCCTATGTCCGTCAACCCCACAAATTGTGATCTTGTTCAGGGCGAATAGACATTCAGCATCAACACAAATAAACATCTGAGAACGAACAAAGAACACATATAATCAGCACATTTATTATTTGTCCTGCAAAAGCACACGTCGGACCACCAGCCACCAAGAGAGATTATCCAAAGCTTGCCAAGAGTTCTGTTGCAAGTCCCACAACGGTCCCAATGAGTCTTTCAAGAGTGTTTGAGAATCCTGTCCAGAGCGCTTTGCCAAAAGTCCTTCCATATTTCAATGTGTCCTTCAAGAGTACTTCGCAAACTGTATGATTTGGCACCAGATGGTGAAATCTCGCTTTTGTGGATATTTGATGATATACTGTATCCGCACAGGTTTTCCTATAATTTCTCAGCAGTTTCCCGGAGGTACATGAAGAAGTTTGGGCTACGTTTGGAAGCAGCAGTGGTGTGACTCCGGCACTTCAACAGGAAAATCTGCACACCCTGTGATCTAGAAGGTACAGGCTCTTCATCGGCAATTGATGCAAGGAATCGACTATTGCCATGCGCGCAGGCCAGACATTCTGTTTCCTTCGATGATTTTGTATTTTTGACTTGCAACTGTCTTGCACAACTGTAAAGTGTAAAGAGTTATTGGTGTCTAGGATAATCCACAGAGACCTAAAGTCAGGATCTGAGAATATTAAACTGCGTATCTGCAGACACCGAACAGTACCTTGCAAGTCACGTTGCGCAGTCTCAAGGCCTCAGAATATTCTGGTGGATGGCCAGGCAGTGCACGAAGAGCTTGCAGCACCACTTGCCATCACCCAGCTGCATTCTGTGCAGGACAATCTGAAGATTGCCGACTTTGGGATGGCACGAGCCAAATGCTAAGGAAGCTTGGTTGAGGGTCGTGGCCAGGGAAGTTGGGGCAAATCAAGGCCTTCAACCTGCCAATCCCCAAGTATACGCATGAGGCGCTTGGTGTTTTCCTTGTGGAAACTGTTGGAAACTCACATTGGTTGCCTCAAGACAGGTTGTTACAACATGGTGGGATCCTCAAATCATGATATTTCTAGCTTTTGCAAGTGTCAGCACAAGACTTGTAGTGCTGGGTGCAAGTGTGCTAGCTCTCAGGTATCGCGCGCCTGAGATCCTCTTTGGATGCGAAGATTACTCCTTAGGAAGCGAACCCAGAATGCAGTCTTCAAGCCAATCCTTTATATCTTTTTGCACAGGGGCTTACACTATGTTTTCACTTCTAGTTTTAGCTAGCTTTATATATATATATATCTTTTTTTTCCTGAATGTGACTCTGTTTCTGCATTGTCGTGTGCTTTTGAAGGAGTTGATGTTTGGAGTGCTGGATGCATTCTTGGCGAGATGGCAACTGGCCTGGGGCTTGTGTGCACACTGTGAATGCACACGAAAAGCAGGATGGTGCTGTCGTTTGACTTTTTGACAGGTGCAGCTCTCTTTCATGGTGACAGCGAAATTGACACCATTTTTCAGATCTTTAAGAAGCTTGGAACCCCTTCTGAGGCAGAATGCCACTTCAATGTTTGTGATACTTTGAGTCTCGCACAAGTTGCTGTAGAAGCAGCGCTTTATGCTTCCAGCGATGGTTGGAGGTGGAATGGCCAGGGCTTTCTGATCTCCCAGACTTCAAACCGACCTTTCCGCAGTGGCTTGCAGCATGGTCTTTCCATATTGTCAGAGAACAAATGAAATGCTGTTGTAAGGAGACTGTGAGTTCTTCCATCACAGTCATCAAAGTCTTACAATGTGAGTTTTGTGCTTTCCCTTTTTGCAGTGCTCATCATGTTTTTGGCAAAAAGAAGACCTGCTATACTTGCTCCACCAAGGTGGCGGAAGCGTCCCTGGAGTGAAATTCGCAACACTGCCATTCAACTTGGTGTTGCCAAAGAGCTCAGACATGGAAAGACAAATTCTGAAAGAACCAACAGCAAGAAAGCCACAAGACCAAAAATCTTGCATAAGACCAACAGTTAAGCAATTCCGGTTTCCGAAGAATTCTGGTTTCCTGACAACGACTTCAACTCACCTTAGGCAGGGACGCGACTCCTGGACTGGGCGAGCACGACTCAATTGCACAAGCGAGTGAACTCTTTTGTCGCACTCTTTTTGTTTTAATACCGGGGGGGTAGGCTGCTAAAGGTAGGTTAGCTAGAGGTAGGTAGCTAGTAGAAGAGATAGAGTAGCTACAAGTAAGCTACTACTTAGGATGCAGGATAGCTCATGCTTCTTCAAGGAAGCTCCCTCCGCCGCCCAAATGATTTGGTTTCTAGATTTTTAGGGAAACTTAAGCGGACGCCATGGTTCTCAGCATATTCTTCTGGTGCAGGACGCCATGCTGAGATATGATCCTGCACATCGGATCTCGGCAAGGCAGACATTGCAGCATGAGCACCCTGCTGGCATTTGGCATGGAATATGTCATGAAGTGGCAAGCAGAACGTACAGAGTTATCTGAGGTATTTCTCAGGGCTCGATGATGTAGATGCCAATATGACTGCAGCTTCCTAGATTTGCGCAGAGAGCGCTTACCCTGGCCCTCCAAGCTCAAATGCACCAAATTCATCGTTCCAGCAATTCACTCACAGAGTGCAACCTGCAATTGCATGTCTCCAAACATTTTATGATCCGAGCTCAATTGCATGTCTCCAAGCTAAGAAGTGCAATCCTTTCACTTGAAGTGTCATGCAATGCAATGCAATGCTGCAATGCTCGAGGAATTGACGTTTGACGTCTTGCCAGCTTTCCAATAAAAGAAGCGTTGGTCGAGGGACAGTGTTTGAGCGGCTTTCTCTACGTGCTTGTTCGATTTGTGCACGAATCTACACAATTCTTCCCTCCAACTTTTATGTAGCCTTGCTGTGATCTAGGCGCGGCCATCAGAGCTCAGTTTAGACTTGCATCATGGGACGTTTCAGAGGCCAGGCAGACGATAATCTTCAGACTCCACGCATTGTTCGTACGTAACGAAGGAAGTGCAATCAAAATGCAACCGAAGCGAAACCACGGCGTGTACAGTTTGCGTGCAGTTGTACAACGGTTACGCCCAACAGGTGTCATGGAATCTTGAAAAGCTGACAAAAATGAAGCAGCGTGGCGTGCGCCACATTGCTTTTTTGCTCTGAGCCTTCAACATCTCAAGATTGATGCATCACACATGCATCCTGAGCCTTCAGACGAATTGCCCGTACCTTCACCCCTTGGTCGGACCTGAACTCTATGAAACCACTCCGCAAGCAAAAAGAACCTGTCCTTGTGTTGGCCAGGTGCCGAAAGGCTAGCGTCGGGAAAACAGTTCTGGAGTTCTGGAGCCCTAGACTGGTTTACTACCGAGACCGAAACCTGTATTGATAACTGTATTTGAATCTGCTATTGGCTGTCAACTGTTTTGAAATATTCTACTGAACCACCCACGCACTGGCTTTGCAAGTACATTAGTGTTGTTTAACTGGATCAAGGCAATTCAGAAACATCAAGCCTTCTTTGTCCTCGCTTGCAACACCATGTTTTGTCCTCGTTGCATATTGAGCAGTCTCCTCGTCCTCGACATGAAATCTAAACTCTACATCACTGTGCACTTTTCTACATGCGTTCAAAGTGCACTCCCTATACTCTAAGTTGTGCAAGAGCAAAAGTCTACAAGATCAAAGTCTTGGGGATTTAACCATGAACAATCAGGAGCCTGCTCCGTCCTCTCTGCGAGCCTCAATCATTGCCTTTCTACTATTCAGAGCCAACATTTCATGGTGCTCAAACACGGGCATGCGCCGTGGAGTGGCGTATGGATTGCACGGCTCGCGCGGTACCTCAAACACAACACCTATATTGACTCCGCACACAAACTGCTCAAGCTGCTTTGAGAGTAGTCATTTCAATTTCTCCCCGTGTTGTTGGAGTTGCAAGGCCATGTGGTTGAAGAGCTGTGTGAACTTGCCTGGTGAAAGCATTTTGCTTCGAGCTTGTCATGATTTAGACCGAGTGAGGAGACTGAAACAATCACCACTGCTGCTCTCCCCATTTCCATATCCAGTCTTCAAGGGTCACCTGTCCATGTGAAAAAGTTGAATTGAGTCTTTAAGTCTTTCAATGACCAGCTTCATGTTGGTGTCGGTCAAAGTCTTCCTTGATGTCATCCAAGAGTCAAGTGGTGAAATACAATCTTCGTGCGATCGATTGTAAGGCCAAGCTGTAGGTCTGCAAGTTGCATTGTATATGTATTTTTTTTCCATGCATATATAAGGCCAAGAAGGAAAGCAGGTTGACATCACTGCATGAAAATTTTTCCTTTGCAACAGGCGCTACATTTTTGATCGTGGGAGGTGGCCTTTGCAACGATCTTGGCTGTGCTGCTGTTAGCGGTGCTTGAAAGTACTGTAATCGAGGCTTTGCCCCAAGCTTTGTGCCACTTGTCTCCTCCAGCTACCGCAGCTACAGATTGCCCAGTGGACAATCCGCTTCTGGGTTGAACATCAGCTTCCAACTTTTGCAATGCACACAGAGAGAATACTCGGAAGTTACAAAGGAACTGGAGGGAGCTATATACATGAGATAATGTCCATGGCATGTCAGATAGAATTCAGCTAGTTTTGCGGTGCTGTGGCAAAACGTCTACAAAGCACAAGCGAAGCGATTGTTCCTAATTAGGCTCGGGCGCAAGATGGACCATCGACTTTCCCAGGCCATTGCAACATCAATTGAAACTCTCTTGCATTGGACAATGAAGCTTCTTGTTACTACTAGTAAGGCACTTGTTACTAGAAGCGATGCACTTGTTCCTAGTAGCTTATTGTTTTTAATTAAGCACAAAAGTGTTTGGCATCGCTTTTTGCAGGTGCTGGTGTGCCTTTGGCATTGGTGGGAACAGCTGCCTTGATGGCAGCCTTGTCCTCAATCGGCGAGCTTTTCTCAAAGGAAGCAAAAACAAAAGGTCGAAAGACAAAGAAAGACACTTCTCAGAAGACCCAGGTAGCTCGGACGACGCAAGTAGCTCGCAGAGCGGAAGAGGCTAAGGCGGCCGAGCTTCCTTTTCGGTGTGTTTGTTGCACTTTGTCGGAAATCTAGCTCCTGTTTTTATGAATTTGCAATTTATGTTAGGAGGCTTCGGAATTTGTGTTAGGAGGCACAAGTGGTGCATTTTCCTCGTTGTGTCTCACCTTCCACGTACCGAAATAGGCATCCGCGAAGGCAAGTGGCAATTCGGTTTAAAAGCTCTTACCTTCCTTTCATATTCTCTAGCTATTAAGTAGCTAACAAGTAGCTAGTCAGCTTGAGGAGCGCCATGCATGATTTTCCCAACAGAGTGGCGCAACCGGCAATTTTCCTTGAATCCCGCAGCAAGTAATATGCGTGCTTGCTCTGCAGAAAGTAGAAGTCTGCAGAGCAAGCCAAGACGGCAGGTACAAGAGGCCTGTCCAGGCCGAGTAAGCCAGTAAACTAACAAGCAGCAGAGCCATGGAGAGGAGGTTGCCAGATGCCGGCACAAATGATGGCCAAATTGATTACCCAGAGAGTCCTCAATGGGCTTTCCCACCTTTTCAGGATGTGACGGCAAAGAGGGAGAGAGGACACAGGATTGATGGCAGATTTGGTTCGGTAAAGGAAGGCAAAGGGTGCATCAGTGGCTGTGCATCGCAGGGTTGCGCCGACAAGAGTCATGAGACTCACTAAGTCACGAAAGCTAGCCTCAGCCAGCTCGAGTCCCTCTTGCTTTAGCAAAGTTAAGGACGGAGCACTGGAGGTCGATCCCAGTGATCTTCCATTAGAAACCCTGCCCCCCCGGGTTCAGCTCCCGCCCCGACATCCAGCTTTCGTTCACATCCCTCGGCCTCATGTTGTGCTTCAATAACTGTTGTGGTAACTTGTGTTATTTGACACTCGTCAAGTATGAAACACTTTTTGCATAGAAGACCTCCAGCTTTAGGAAGATTGTGGTATGCAACCATGGCGACTGGATCACGCTGGCAAGTCATCTCATTGCATGTTGCTCACCAGGAACCTTGTTGATTGCTTGCTTTGCATCGGTTTTGCCTGCTTTGAGCAAGGCGAGCAAGGCGAGCAAGCCCGCGGCTAAAGAGCCAAAAGAGGCTGTGGAGGTGCATGGCGGCACATGGTGCTGTGGTTCCAACTTTGTTTGCAAAGTGTTCTTGGATTCGGAGTGGTGGGAATAACAAGGCGTAGTCAAGTGCAAATCCTGAGGGGACCTTGGTGTTATGCATGCTGTAGAAAAGTCTACTTTGATGTTTGTTGCGTTTGTCACGAAAGGTAGCCTCAGGCTACCTGAGTTCTCCTTGCTTTAGCAAAAATATATTGTATGCAGGACTTTGTCATTTGCCTAGAGTTTGGTCCTGTAAGAAGGGATTCTGTTCGACAGGGGGGCCCCCCCCCCGGATCAAATCCCATCTGCGCCGTCGCGGTCTGGATGCAAATCGTGAGATGTTTGGACAATTCTTGAGGCATGTTTCTTTGCATAGTGTGCCCCGCTCGAACTTGAATTCGAACTCGAATTTGAACTCGAATTGGAACAGTTAGAGCTCAACCCTGGAAGCATAGAAGCCTCGAACTTGAATTCGAACTCGAGCTGGAACTGTTAGAACTCAACCCTGGCCTCGAATTCGGACTCGAACTCGAATTCGAGCTGAAACTACAGTAGGTGAGTGATGTTCCGGATGTTCCGGTATCGTTTTAACTTTTCTCTAGTTGTGGCTTCGGAATTCACTTCTTTAGGGTCTCTTTGGCTTTGAAATGGTGTAGGGCTTCACTACTTTGGGCTTGTTTTGCTTGGGCTTCACTACTTTGGGGTTTCTTTGGGCTTGTCTTGCCGGGGCTTCGCTGGGTTTGCGGGTCTCACTTCGTTAGGGTTTCTTTAGGGTTGGCTTCGCGCTTCACTTCTTTAGGGTTTCTTTGGCTTGTGGGCTTAGGGCTTCACTTCTTTGGGGTTTCTTTTGGTTGGCTTCTAGGGCTTCATGTCTTTATCGTGTCTTTGGGTTTGGCATCTGAACTTTGCTACTTTAGGTTTTTGGGGGCTCGGCTGGCGAGATCAGGGTTTCTTTGGGCTTGGCTTAGGGCTTCACTTCTTTAGTCTTTAGGGTTTCTTTGGCTTTGGCTTGCGAACTTCACTGACTATTTTAGGGTTTCTTTAGGTGTGGCTGGCGGGGTTTACTTCATTAGGGTCTCTGTGGCTGATGGCTTCACTTCCATAGGACTTGTTTGGGTATGGCTGGTTCGCTTCTTTCATGGCCGTTTGTTGGGTGTTCGGGTCTGACATTTTTCGGGTTCCTTTAGGCTTGGCTGAGGGCTTGAGTTCTTCAGGGTTTCTTTGGCGTAGGGCTTCACTACTTAGCGCTTCCTTGGGCTTGTCTTGCTTGGGGTTCGCTGGGTTTGCGGGATGGCGCGGGTCCCACTTCTTTATGGTTTCTGCAGGCTCGGCTTAGCGCTTCACTTCTTTAGGGTTTCTTTGGGTTGGTTTGGACGGAGCGTTGCCGGCTGTTCAGGGCTGACTTCTTTCGGGTTCTTTTAGGCTTGCCCTCCTATCTCAAATTTTGATTGTTTTTCTTGTTTGTCATGTTCTCATGTTCCCTTCGTTTTTCACACTCTTTCAAGCTGCCGAGTCTTTGGTTATGCAAACGAAAGATGCTTGGATAATTCATCAAGTTTCACACATACAGCATAGACTTGAAGACCACTACCTCACGATCAACATGATCCTCAGGCCCAGGAATGGAGGGAATGGAGGAAAGACGAGGGTCACCGAATGGCACGTCGAGCCCACCTCCGCGATTGTAATCCCAGCTTGAGTTCAGAGACGTTTCGTGAATCTCAGACATATCATGACCAAAGATCCGTTCACGTGGAACACCATGTTCATAACCCAGACCCAGCAATGGTCCAGCAGCAGCAATGCTCAAGCAAGGGCCAGGTTGAGGCTGTTCACGCAGTCTCTCAAGCTCACGTTGTGGCTGAGACCAGTCGCGCAGAGCCTTCAGACCCTAAGGGCGCAGTTGGAAGTTTCCTTAAGATAGAATCAACAGCTGAGTCTGGTCGAATCTTTGGGAAGGGATGGGGCCAAAAGCCAAGATGCTTTGAATGGTACAACAGAGCCCATGGATATCGATGGCAGGCTGCCCAGGTGGAACAAGGTCATGAGGTTGCTGGTTCAACCTATTTGGAAGCGTTGGACGACGGAATAGGACACAAAGATGTTTTGTCATCTGAACTTTCTCACGCCGTGGCTTCAGCGGTCCAAATTCAGAAGCCAAAGCCCAAATCAACCGAAGGTAGATGGTTTGTCGAATTCTGTTGCGTTGAAAGAGAGTTTTCATGTTGTATGATTGCAGAGTAGTTTGACGAATGCAATTTTGGATTCACTAAGGATTTTGGGGGTTTGACAGACCCAGTTGTGTTTGAACAAGTCTTGCTGCGGGGTCCATCCCTTGTGTGCCCCTTATTCAGATGATTGTTGCGGGATGTGGTTGACCATAGCCGGAACCATAGACGGGAAGTATTTTGTCAATGAGTGGGATTGGGTTGCTTTTCAGGAATTTGTGTGCAAGGATACCCCATGTTTGCCGGTTGTCCATGGTTCGGTGGCTCATGAACTGCGATGCTCAAATGATTTTGAACTACTCAGTCACCCACAAGGTAGGGTTAAGATAATGGAAGAAGCCGATGGGGTGAGAGAACCTCACGTTTGGGCGAAAATGAGGGTGAGGATTTGTTTGAGCTAGATGTTCTCAAGAAGAAAAACAAGGGAAATGGGTGAAGTCGTCCACGTGACTGACTTGATGGCCATAGGGTTGATAAAACACGCCGAAGGGGAATCCCAGGCAAAACTCAAGGTGAGGTTGGTTTACAAGGGGGACGAGACTTGGGACCAGAACGGTGAGCTGGCAGTGTTCCGCGAGCTTAAGTCCCTTCCGGCGACCGTCTCAACCAGATTTTTTTTTTGGGGGGGGGTTTGGCCTAAGAAAGGGCCATTGCGTCCGAATAGCAGACGCCCAGAAAGCTTACTTGCAGGCGCCAACCCGATCCCCAATTCCAACATTTGTCATCCTCCCTGCTCTGTAAGGGAAATTTTGAAAAAACACTGGCGCAAGGGTGGCAGCGCGTCTTTACAAGGCGCTATATGGACATCCGACAGTTTTGGGAGGCTGCAAGGTCTTTCTCTACATGAAGGATTATGCCGTGACGGCCTACAAACTTGATGAGGGCCAGTTTGGACAGACATAAGACATGCCAGTCGGCGGGCAAAACCGCGCAGCTTCTCCTGAAGCTGCTCTGGCTAGCGCCAGAAATCACGATGTTATGTTGTATTGTTTGCTGGGGTATGTCGAGTTCACTGGTGATTATGGTTTGTATGGCGCTGGTACCAATCCTTGTTTACACTTGCTCGCGGATGCTGACCTGGCTGGGGATGTTATGGCAAGGAAATCACATAGTGGACGTTTCGTTGCGGAAGAAGATGTTCCCATCAATATGGTTTTACGCTTAACCATTCACTCTGAAACCCAGACCATCTTAAGAGAAGACAACTCGGCAGTCATCACGGTCCTCAAGAGCGGATAGAGTCTTAATTTCAAATCTCTTAATAGGCAGTCGCAGACTTGTTGGAAGCTGTCAAGAATCAACTCCTGGAGTCGGCTGTCTTTAAAGGCTGCCAGGGAAGCGATCGGGATAGGTCTTCCACCGAATGTACAAGGTCCAATGGCCTAGAAGGTACGTTTGGTCGGCCATGCGCTCAATGCCGGCGACCAAGCAATGGCGGCTGCTGCTCTTTGGCCTCTTCTGCTGCTGTTGCTGCTGCGCGTCCACCTTCGACGTCTTCTCTTTCGCGGCCTTGTACTTTATGCATGACCCCTCGACATCATGAACTTGGAACCACTTGACCCAGCGGCAGCCTACGCATTGACGTGGCGCACCAGTACACTGGCGTGCGTGCGATTGCAAATCAGTGGCAGATGGTTGGGTTTCACACACACAGCATGGGCTTGAAGACCACTACCTGACGGATGAACATGATCCCTTCGGCGGCTCATGTGCTAAAAGGTGCTGACGCCGCCAAAGCG